CTTTAAACATTTTTATTTATTTTTATTCTGGTGATATCTAAACTACATGTTAAAAAACACCTGTGTTAGATGCATTACATGGCCTTTAAGACGAGTGTGGGCTCCGATTGTGTGTGGGAGCATTCTGGGTAACCAGAGCCGGCTGTCGCATTTCTATACCCCCCCCACACACAGTCTTAATCTCTCACATGGACTATGCTGACAAAAAGAGACATCAAGCGTTCTTTACTCTCACAAATGTTCATATTTCCTACACGTATCTTTGTTGGAAAGTAAAGTCTATTATCTGCTGAGGCTAGTCTAAAATGTATTTCTATTCATAAAAAGACGTTTACCTGCCAAACTAACCAGCCACAGCCTGGTGGCCTTTAGTGAAAAGATACTGTTTTATGAGGAGACCTAAAAGTGGAGAAACAGGATAGAGGAAAGGAAATAAGTGGGGGAGAAGGGGGGTAATGTGTGGAGCAATGTGGTTATTTGTTCATTTATTTATGCCTCTTCCTGTCTTTGTTGCTCAAAGAGTCGGGCCAGGGGTTGGGTTACAGCACCGCTCTGTGTGTGTGTGTGTGTGTGTGTGTGTGTGTGTGTGTGTGTGTGTGTGTGTGTGTGTGTGTGTGTGTGTGTGTGTGTGTGTGTGTGTGTGTGTGTGTACCTATTTTAGGATCAGCAAGGACTTCTAACAAAAGAGTGGCACAGCCTTTCTATACACAGTGGCTGTGTGATACGAAACTGACTTGAATTAAAAACATTTTCTGCGCAAATCTGAACTATTTTTGATCAACATAATTTCATTCATCACTTGGAAGTTTACATCATCACATTTAGCTGCACCTTACATTCATGTAGTGAACGCACCATTCCTGTAACTAAGTTGCCAATCTGAGAGTGCATATTTCAACATGATATGGACACATTGGTCATGCTGGGAGTTTGGCTGTTGCATGAACATATGTTGACACTGCTCTTTACAAAGCGCCATGGTCATTTATTCATCCACTGCATTTACATCCAGGCCTTCAGCTTAGATATGTATCCCTGCTGGGAGTAGGGATGGGCTTCTTAACGGTACCACGGTCTTTAATAATTCAGCCCCGGTACTAAACGGGCCCCGGGGCTGAATTATTAAAGACTGTGGCACCGTTAATCTCCGACGTTATCGGTCTCTGGAGACATTTAAAAAAAGATATGTCATATGTATTATTGTTACATAAACATTATATAGCAGTCTTAGTGTCGCCAACTCATCATTTTCATATTTTTGGAGTAATTATACCGGTTTTGAATAACAGAAATGCTGTTTTCTAGCATCACTTTTACAGAGAAATGGCATTTGAATCCTCCAAAGTATGTGTGGACGCTCTGGCCCCTTAAAGGCCACATTAAAGAAATGGATATTCTTTTTAAAAAAAGGTCGATATAACTCAATGTGAAGCGATTGACAGCAGAGCGTTAACAACAGATAGCATCAATGTTTCATTAATGTTCTAGGTCTTTAAGACAAATGTGGCAACTGAAACCCTGAGGAGAGCTACCCAAGACTTCTGAGAGCAGGGGGGAGCTGGGGAGAGTTGGACAGAGAACCAGGCTCAGTTCGTTCTGATGAATGAGTTTGTGTGGTTCCTTTGAATTTTATGGTGACAGCTCTGCGCAGGAAGAGGATGAGGGGGTAAATACATTTAATGAGGCATTGGGACTCTTCCTGGGATTAAATGAAGGCAAGAAGGGGGTTCTGTGAGGTGTACTCCAAGTCTTTGATCCTGAACCCAGAACAGAACAGGGTCTCCTCCTCATCGCCGGGAGTGGATAGTAGAGGAACACAAGAGGAGAGGAGACCTAGCTAACATTAAGGGCCATATCAAAAGGGTGAAGGTGTGAAATACTATTGCTGTACTGCTGAATCTGAACTTCATTCATAATTAGGGATGTAACGATATATCGAATATCGCAGTAAATGGATGTCTCAATACCGTTGTGAGACTGACAAAATCTACCGCGATTTAAAAAAAAGAAAATTAAATGTTTTCTTTTTTTAAAAACCTTTATTTAACCAAATGGTCCCATTGAGATCATCGATCTCTTTTTCAAGGGAGACCTGTCCAACATGGCAACAAGTAGGTTACAACATGAACATAAAACAACAGATAACACAAAAGGACATCGTATTTGCAGGGCTACATGTACATACGTAGAGACATTGATAAGTACCAACAGTATATGTATATCTCGCCCTGTTAATAAGCCTCACCTTCTTGGCAACAACTGTATTGTTTTTGAAGTGGTGGAGAGACAATGCACAGTTTGACCCACTGCTGTCACCTATGGCCAAAGCATATCTCTCTGTCCCAGCAACATCAGTACCAAGCAAGAGAGTTTTTTCCACAGCAGGGGATATTGTAAATGCCCAAACATCCCAGCTTCTACCTGGAAATGTGGACATGCTCATATTCCTAAAAGATAACCTTGATGATGCTGAGTGAGTTAGTGAGTTAGAGTTGAATTACTTGAAAAACTAAAGTGAAACTTTATTTATTCTATTGCAGGGTCTGATTATTATATTGTTGACACTTTAAAATACTACTATCCTACTAAAATGCTGTACAAATCAGATTTATTATTTAATGAAGAAAACATTTTTATTTTCGTGGAAAAACATTTGTATTATTAAGTTATTGAGTAGGGAACATACTGTATTGTACTTCCCTTAGTCAGTAATCAACAAGGACGTTTGCTTGACCCTGGCTGTAACCCCTTCCATTTTGTCCTTTCCTCCCTGCAGCATGGAGGGCAGCATAGTGCGCCTGCCAGAAATGATTGCTCTGAAGAAGCGCTACAAGGCCTACCTTTACCTAGACGAGGCCCACAGCATCGGGGCCCTGGGGCCTAGAGGCAGAGGCGTGGTCGATTACTTTGGCCTGGACCCCTGTGATGTGGACGTCATGATGGGAACATTCACCAAGAGCTTCGGTGCTGCAGGGGGATACATCGCGGGGAAAAGGGTGAGGCTGGAGGATTTTAATTTTTCTGCGGTTTCATTTAAATATATATATATACATAAGAGGGTTAGGCCAAGCCAAGGGTCGGCAACCTTTACTATCAAAAGAACCTCAGTTTCTTAACTCTCAATGGATGTACAACATAATACATTTTCATGCACGTCTTCTTACATCTCCTGTGTATCTGCTGGCTTTAGGAGCTTATTGAGTACCTGCGCTCCCATTCCCACAGTGCGGTCTACGCATCCTCCATGTCTCCACCTGTGGTGGAGCAAATCATCACTTCTATGAAGTGCATTATGGGAGAGGATGGCACAACGATAGGTGAGTGGCAAAACAACATTAAAGGTAACCAGAGGATTCTTTTGAGCTATAGAGCTACTGAAGTGTTTTTTGGATTGCAGCTTAGTTTTGTCTGATGCAAATGCATGCATGTATGCGGGTTAGCTTATATACAGTAACACAAAATTGTAATATTCCAATGATCTACAGGTGGCAGCTATAAGCCAACAAAAGCGGGAAACGACAAGACTCCAAGCATTATAGATTCTTTTTAAAACGATAAAAAAGGAAAATGTGGCTTTGCAAATGTTTTATGAGAAAGAAATGCATTCAACGTGATACTCACAATGTTTTTTTTATATGGCGTAACACTGAAGGTAAAAATAACTTGTTTGTTTACAACAACATTCAACAGAGCACCTTTAAATGATTCTTGGCTGAGATTAGGAGTAATGAAATGTGTACCGACAGCATTTTCATATTATATGTTGAGTGTGGCCCCCAGTGCCCTGTAATGTTTTAATTAACATTCTGGAACAAATAGATTGATAGGGCATCACTTTGTGTAGTTGTGTCTCTAAGGCTTAACACCATAGGCTACAAGATTGCTTTTTTTAATGCTTTTTTTTATGCTGCTGAAACAAGAATGAGTTTATATCCAATTTTGAGTTTTCTGTTGTATAAGAGATTGCAAATAGGCATTTATTTAATAAGACAATGTGCATCACAGGCAGTATGAGAAAAATAAAGAGCTTTTTGAACATTAAAGCATGGACACACGTCACAGCAGAGGTACAAAATACAAACCTGAAAACTAGAATTATATGTCTTCGTTAATATAAGTAATCAACAGGGGAACTTTCATAGTGAGCTATTAGTTGGGTGTTTTTAACCTATTCACCTTTAGTGTCCCCTTAATCACTATCTGTGACAAATTGAGCGCATCATATCCGGACTACATAAAAAAAAAACCTTGATGTCATCATAATGAAGAGTATCATACTTGGCAGAGTTGTTTTATTGAAAGAGCATATCTTATCATTTAAAAATGAACTAAGAATTGAGATGTTCAGATTTTCAGTGTTGAGTGGATTTCATCTCAATGCTGTAATTGTAAGCAGTTGCCACTGGGTGTCAGTACAAACTGATGAAATCAGTAGTTTTATTTCACACTACTTAAAAAAAACACAGAGTTGAAGCTGTATCCTTGTGAGATATAATAAATAGAAACCCTTCTTCTTCCCATTTATTATACCAAGGTCAATCCAGATGTATCTTGAGGTGAGGTCAGCCTTTGTGTATCTTTTTAAACTCAAAAAAGTCATTTCTGTTGACCTACTTTTTATTTTATTTGCATGGACGTGTATGTCTTGGTGCAATATTATGATAATAGTAGTTCTTTGTGACTACATTTGGGGGCAAATTAACATAGTTTGCAGTCGTGTTTTTAAAGAATCAGTGGATCTTCTATCTCCTGTGGCAGAAGGAAAACATTACAGAGAAGTCAAAACTCCCCCTCCCCCGAGGGGTGCACCCCTCAGATGTTTCCTCTCACATCTCATGAATGTGTTAGTTCTCAGCTGCTTATCAACACTCTTTTTTCCCTTTCTTTTTTCATCAAACTCGCTATAAATATTTCTCATCTTCTCACATTTAAAATGTATGAAAATACACATTATGGTAATATGTAGTGAGTCTAACTGTTACCCATGAATCCTTGTGCGTATCACCACTGTTGTAAGACAAATTATTTGTGCCCCCCTTGGATTTTATCATCTGTGTTTTTGGTACTATATATTTATTTGACTTTATTTTACTATGAGCATCAACCGGGATATGTTTGTCTAAATGAGCTTCACCGCTCAGTCTGTCAGCGATGGAAGACAACGATATAAGTCACAACACAAACCAGCAGGATCCTCCTGATAAATCTGTTCCAACAAACTGTTAAAATAATTCCCATCTTCTATGGTCACTTTACCGGTGCTTCTCTTAAAAATTCTAAATATTGTAAATTCAGAGTGACTGCATAAAAACGGCCTGGTTTTGATTCCGGTTCTGCTTTGATTCCGGTTCTGGTTAGAGATTCTGCTTCTATCTATGCAACTCGATTTGAGTTATTTTAAACTTCTAAATGAAAAGCATACAGTTTAATTTGGGAAAAGGCCTACAATACGTCAGTTCTCCCATCACGTCACTGCCATAGACTGTATATATAAAGGTCACTGCTCACAAAAGTTTTTTTTCTGGTATTGGCCGTTTTGGATCAGTTCTTACTTGAATTCCAAATTACGGTTCTGAACCTTATATCCAACTCAATTGTATACATATGTAAGAGTCCCTGACAATTTTCAAAGACCCCCAAACTAAAAGATCATTAACTTTAATAGCATTGTGGTTCCTCCATTGCTTTTGTCAACTCTTGTTAAAAATTCTCTTCTGATCCTCCCCAGGCTGTGACCGTGTGCATCAGCTGGCAAAGAACGCAGTGTATTTCCGCAGGAAGCTTCAGAAGATGGGCTTCATCATCTACGGAAACGAGGACTCGCCTGTTGTACCCATGATGCTCTACATGCCCGCCAAGATAGCGTAAGCCTACAGATTTGACTCGCTGCTTAAAGTAGTTTTCACGCATTAAAGCCTAGAACAATACAGAATGATGAATAATATGATTGTATATGAGATGTGGCCAGATTTACATATTTCAAAAGATCCTGATTTTTGTATTAATAAAAAAACACATTTTCATCAGGGGGCTTTACAGTGTGTACAGATCAAACATGAATGAAAATTTTAACTAAATAGATAATGCATGACAACATAAACAATCTAATTAACTAAATGCTCATTTGAATTTAAAACACAAATAAAGTTAAATGAATATAAGATCCAGGAATATGTTTAAGGTAAGCCTGAGGCGGCCCTAATTATAGGCTTTATTAAAAAAAAAGGTCTTAGTCTTATGATTAGTCATAGTATTTATTTTAGTGCTTTACATTAAATATTGTAATAGATTGAATTATGTGGACAATACCCACTTATAAAACCTATGTATTCTTTCTCAATTAAATAAGTATAAATGTTCTAAACAATAAATCTCAATGAACAACACTAGCTTGCCATAATGTTGCAAAGGTTAATGTCTTTATTGGAACTATATTTTGGTATGTCATTTCTTGCCGCGTCTCTTCTGTCCCACAGAGCGTTTAGCAGGGAGATGTTGAAGAGGAACATCGGGGTGGTAGGGGTGGGCTTCCCCGCTACGCCCATCATCGAGTCCCGGGCACGCTTCTGCATCTCTGCCGCCCACACGAAAGACGTGCTCGACAGGGTAACTAATTTATACAAGCACGGTTTTATCACATAAAACTGTTTTAATTGAATTCTTCTTGGGCAAGAAATTAGATCTGAACAACAAGAAGTAAAAAAGATAGCAAAAGTCTTACTTCTATCTGTTTTTCTTACACTAAATTCTCTATAATAGGAAAGTTAGTGTTTAGCTTTACACAGTATTACTCGAACCTGTGTTAACATGGCCACTGAAAATACTCGGTCCTCATTGGATGGACAAAACGGTTAACACTCATTGGTCAAACATCAGTATTATTCTCCCCCTTACCGTGATCTAATTTGTTCATATTCTGAGGATTGCTTTTTACTTCTCGCAATTGCAATCACACAAAAATAAATCGTAAAAATGTTGTTAATATGTGGAGATTATTCTGCGGAACAAAGCACATAAGTATGACATGTTTCTGCAATATACCCAAAAATACAATGGGGACATCTCATTGCGTTTGTCAAGAGAGTCTTTGCAATGGTAACTTGGCCTCACTGCACTATCCTTTTGTCACCCCAGTGTGGTTTCAGGGTACTAAGGCTTCCTGTTTGTATAGCAGAGCACATTTTCTTTTTAGACAAAGAGGGTGAGCTAGGCTCCAATATTTTCTGTTCATTTCATTTTATTTATTGGAAGTTCTTTTTAAATTTAAATTAGGAAATAAATTACAAAATCAGACGAATTGTGGATGGTCGTTCAGGTGTGACCGCCTCGCAGCTTGTCATAGTAGAGGAGAGATGGATTGAAGGGGAGACTGCATTATCTGTTACGAGTTCAGAATCCCACCCTCATTTTCCTCAGTGTCTCAATGTCAGTGCAGTCTCTGGGCATTACATCACAAAGCCTCCCACTCCTCTCAAATACTGCAAGAGCTCCTCTTCTGCTATATTCGCCTGCTTGTCCTTTTGCAGTCACCGTCTTTAACTTCAGCCTCTTGGTCATCCAGCAAAAGTATTAAATCCCTTGTTTTAATTGAGGTGTCCTTGTGGCTCGGATGTCAAATGTGTCTCCAGGAAGTGCGGGGGCTGTTATCCACTCCCATTCCTTGTCTTGCTCTCAAGACAAAAAAAGTGAGGAGTCGGTGTTGTTAAGATCTTTTTGTTAGGCCTCCTTGCTGTATCACTTTCGTCTACTTTGATGTGTCGTGACGATTTGTGAGTTTCTTTGATCTTTTGGTAAGCTTTGGCAGTCGAGCCCTCTCCTTCAATAGCACCCACACATGTACACTTAATCCTAAATTCCAACAAATATTTGATCATAGAAGTCTACTCTGACTTCTTAAAAAAGTAAAAACAGACAAGGATTACTTTTTGTGGCATTTTAATCTGCAGTAGAGCATTGAGCAGCTTAATAGCCAAAAAGACTGACTAATGGCCACCTGACGCAAACAGGTGTCAGGTGGCCAAAAGCACAACTCCAAATGAACACTATTGCTGTGCTATTTCTGCATGTCACCCTTATAGATTATATTTTTGTCAAAACATTTACCACATAAACCTTCAATCTCGTGTTCACCCCTGTTGTAACCTATTTACATTTCAAAAAGAAATGCGCCCCACACTTTGAGAACCACTGACCTACACAGAACTGTTCGTTTCATTGTGTTTTACCAACAAGTTGTTTTATATTGTTAAGCATTGACTGATTTAACTTTAAAAACGTTCAATTAAATTCAAGAAGCGCTTTTACGATGTAAGATCTTCCATTTTGGGGAAGAGTTTCAGACAGAATGAACTATTGCTGCTGTTTAGATGATTTATCTCTATGAACTCATCACCTCCTGTGCTATTACAGGATGTCCTACTGGTGACTACCCCTCCCGCCAATTCATGGGAAAGATAAATTGGAAAGGTTTAAGTCGATGGTGTTTTTAGTTTCAGCTCAAGTTTTGATGTAATCTTACATGAAAGATGTACAAATCTAGCTTGGTGCAGTTTTACATTTCCTGGAGCCATATATTGCCCTTCATGCTGACAGCCTTTTTATTGAACAAATGTCTCCACAGGCGCTGAGTGTCATCAGTGAGGTGGGAGACCTTGTTAATCTCAAGTATTCCCGGCAAAAGATACAGCCGTCTGTGGCACGGTCCTTCGACGATAATGTGTTCGAGGACATTGACGACTGATTCCTCTCCTGAAGCGGCGTGAACCTAACAACCCCGGAACACACGGAACAGGTCGAGATGGATCACAAGTCTTCCACGAGAACCGAGGTGTGCACAGGTGCCCCTTGTCACTAGCTTGCCATAACGTAAATCATCCGCATCAAATGGGACACTTAAAACTATTTTTTCCTGTGTAGTTTTTGTTAGTTATTTTTTTATCATTTTGTGTCCAATAATTTGTAGTTATATGTCTGCTGTGCTTGTAAAATTGGTCATGTTTAGGGTTAGGGTTAGCCATATGGTTGCGTATGTGATGTGAACAAATGCCATATTTGAAATGGAAAATGTCAAGTTTCCAAACAAATGTATCCATCTTTAACTTTTATGGGTAAACAAGGATTACTTTTAAACATCAATAATACACTTTCATAGAGTATTGTTCAGATCAGTGGTTATCAACATTGGCTTGAATCAGAACACCCACTGGTTTTTCGTACAGGAAGAAGTTACTGATCACATTTCCTCTTTTTTTAATAAAAAAAAACATACAAGGTAGATACATTTTTAGGATATATTAACATTATACCCAACATCCACCTGGCATTATTTTCAGACTTGTTTATGTGGCAATGCTCACTCTACCAGGAAGCTACTAGTTTTGTAAGTAAACATAGGTAGGTTGTTCACATCTTTAGGGGACTAGTCTAAGAAGCACTGCTATTGATACTTTTTTGCTCTTCAACCTGATTAAGTACACATTTTTAACCAATGCGTTTGACATTGGCTTGTTACTTATCTTTAATTATAGAGTTGAATTGCAAGATCCATACCAAACTTTGGCAATATAAGGCGTTGCTAATTGTAACCCCAAAAATAAACAGTCTCTGCCTGTAACTCTTCATGATACCATATTCTGATTCCGATTCTTTATATAGTGGCATCTCGTCGGAATTTCAAACCAAGCAAGGCATATTCCCAATAAAAGTTAGCATTATTCCCAAAAAAAGTTAGCAATTAGCATCCATAAACTACTGCTTGACAACTCAATTTGCCTCAGCTGAACCAAGTCTGTTTCAGTGCAACAATGCCAAAATGGAAATCAAGCCAAGTAGTAGTGAGCCTGTAATTAGCCATATTAGCTTAGTGTTGGATATTGAAAAGCCCTACGCTGCATAACTCCAACAATCTGGTACAGCTTCTTAAGTCCAATGTACTTGGCATTAACTAAATCTGTATTCATTTCAAATGCAAGAAGAAAACAACTTTTGTGTGGAGTGAAGCTCAGCTAATCCATCAGTCCGCTTAACATTTCATTGCATCCTTTTTTTTTGGTAATTTAATTATTATTTTGTTGAATTTGTTTAATTGGGAATTCATACTAATGATAGTATTTTGCAATTTTCAGTGACAACATTTGAGTTATATTAAAATAACTTATATCCTACTACTTCAAAAATAGTGGATATCATTTCAAAAGTGATTGTATCAGCTGTCACTGGTTGAACTATAAAAGCTCTATTTTAATAAAAAATACCAGTTTTCGTAAACGCTAACTTTGTAATCCATATTGATTCTAATAAGTCATTGCTACAAAAAATGGAATGCGAACAAATATCCAGTGAACATTTAAAGACAAATAAAACCAGATTTGCCTGTTACATATGGATTTGGCCCTTTTTTAAAAGACAGATGTCCAATATATATATATATATATATTGTATAGTCCAGTTGGCTTTCAGATTTGTATTTTCTATCTAGGTCGGTATCGGGATGTGGACAAATATACCCCTATTATAATATTACTATTTTTCAACAATATATTATAGGTGTCAGGTGTAAACAAAACATGTCTGGATTTGAGTTGTGTTTGAATTAAAGATATTTTCATTTCCATCCTATCACCTGGGTTCTTATTAGTATTATCATTGCTCTTTGTATGATAACGTTGTCTTATGTAAGAGAGAAAGCTTTGTTTGTGCGATGACACAGATGTCATTAACATTTCCAATCAGTGTTTAACTAAGGATGTGTGTGATTGCTTGCATGGTTTCCCGGTTTTAACGTGCTGCACTTTTACCTTGATTTCTTTTTTTTACACCTGTCTTTTGAGCTCTGGGTTTATCTTGGCATTTTTGCTACCAAAGTTTTGAACAACACTTTAAAAACCCACATGCATACATTCACACTTGCATGCACGCATACTAATAAGCATTGTGTAACCACTCATTCCTCATAATTACACATGTACAGTAATAATCAGTCATTGAAGCTGCTCTGCACCACAGCCCGTCTCAACAATATACAGTACAGTATTCTTATGAATGTTGACATAAAAATCTACATATTTCCAGAGAAAGTTAATATATCTGTCTGGGTTTAAGGAAGGTTTTCTTTGCCTTCTTCCATATCAGTGTTTATCTTAATCCTTTTTTTATTTTCTGACTAGAAAATACCTAAATTACAAATGATTGTCCATAAGCTAAAAGTTACACATGTATGTTGTTGCAGATTATTATATTTTGTTGAATTGTTTTATGTTTGCACACAGGAAAGCCATGAAATCATACTAAAAGCAGGCATTTAGACTATATTTTGATATGAAAGCAGAATAATGTAAAGACCCAAGACCTTATGACCTGATATCTTAATAATGCTTTTCTTAAAGGGACAGTGCAGACCTTTTTGAAATGGGGTTGTATGAGGAACTTAACTGAAGTAGGTTGCAGGTAGATTTTTTTTAGATGCTAAAAAAACGTTCTATTCGGTGCCAATCCACAGCCGCAGATTGCTCGCTTCTGTGCTTTTCTGTTTCTCCTGAGGCATGTCAACTGCTTAAGGTATTAGAGTGGTGCAGGAATAAGTCTTCAGGTTCCATCGTCTCGAAGTCTAAGTTTTTTTACTTGATTTTGGTTGGATGCCAGAATTAAGGTCTGTGGTTAACTCTCAAGACTTTTAAGTTTTGTTTCTAGAACATAAAATACGTTATCATATACCCAACTGGTGAATGTCTGAAGCTTATAACTCTTAATAACGGCCGTTGCTAACAGTCGGCTAAATGAGACTATTAAACGCACGTCGAGCATTAGCTGCCTTTAGCTTAGCGGTGGTGATACACAGTCATGTGACCGTGATGTTTATAGCCTAACAACTTTTTACCTCTAGTGATTGCATTGAAACTTCAAAAATCATAAAGTCTAGTTGAAATGTGGAGATTATTACAAAACGTGTAAAATAAACTGTTAATTTGCCTCATCTTATTTTCTGCAACGTTCAAAGCAGCCCTTGTGGTGATAACTTCTATTGGCCTACAAAAATACATAAAAAATACATCACTGCATCATTCTATAGTACACTGATTATGGATAAGTAGCGCACAACCCCATTTCAAAACATCCAATGTATCCTTTTAATAAAAGTACCTTTTCAGAACAAAAAAGATCGTCTCATGTGAAACATTCTGTGCCCTTTCTGAATAATACAGTGTGTTCCTTCACTAAACCATTTAACGGTTTTGGTCTTAAAAATTATGTACATTAAAAGGAAAACTTTTCAGCTTTGATGTAAAATGGAGATAATCCCGGTATTTTGTACAAAGTTTATATTGTTTCATTGCAAAGGAGCTAATCAGAATACTTTGTTTACTAAAGAGAAACCTGGAAAATATGGTTATCACTATTACTGGCAGCTTGTGTTGAGTGTGCCATTAATAGAGGTGAGTTACCACACATCAGAGATAATTATTTTCTGATATAGTGCCTTTTGAAGCATTTTCTAACAGTTTTGATTATATTAAGTGTCATAACGTTGATTGCTCATCTTTTACAGTCTTTGATTTATTTTTACTATTTTGTCTTCAACAGTATTTATAACTAGTGCTGGGTGTGTTTCCGTCGACTTATTGCAATGCATTTGATTATAGAAAATGCACTATTTGCCACATTTTCAGCAAATTATTAACATGTAAAGTGTCACCCATGTTCATGATATCAATAGATCATTAATAAACAATAAAAAAATGCTGTTTTGAATTTCTTTCATTTTTTTCGAGACTCCTTGACCAAATCTATACGCTGATGATATACCTTTTATTTTGTTGTTCTATTGTCTAATCCTTTGTTCACAAATTACTGGAAAATACTTTTTCATCGGGGTCTATGGCTTAAAAAGTGAAGGTTCTTTGTGGACTGGCTGAATGAAGGCTACATTGTGCACAATGAATCGGGAGATCATTTCGAAAAAAACTAAAATGTTCAACTTTCACAAACATTTCTAACACAATATTCAACTTTTAAAACATCATTTACACAAAATGCCTTTATGACTCAAGTTTACATTATCGGTATTTGAGGTTTCATATGGTTAGAGATGCCTTTCAATGTATGGCCTCCAGTGACTGGTTGTCTTTTGGGAATGTGTATAGTGAAACCTTTTTTAATGAAAAAGGTCAATCAAAGTTGCTTCCTCAGTCCACAGCAAGAGGATTTAGGAAAATAATAATTATAAGGTCAATACTTTTTTCTCTATGTGGCCCCCACACAGACCTATTCTTACAGATGGATGACGCAAGCGCTAAAGTAAGCTAGTTTGACAGCTGCTCCAAATCCACACCCAGGCGGCCTTCTCATTGTAGCTGGAGACTTCAACCACGCTAACTTAAAAACTGCTGCCTAAAATATATCAGCATCAACTTTTCCCCCCCCAAACATAACAAACTAATTTCTTCTAACTCTGCACCTGTCCGCCGTAAACTTCGTTCACTCTCCCCCTCTACCCTTGCCTCATCGGTGCTCTCAACCCTCCCTTCCTCTGACTCGTTCCAACTCCTG